ATTCACTTAGAAAAGTTTGAGAACAATTTCGATCAGTGGTCCTGTGTGTTACCTCAATTACAGTTTTAACAACATTTTTCATGGTGAGGATAAATACAGGGTTAATTTTCAAAGAGTAGCCAAATTTTGAACTTAAGTTCAAATATATAAATAATAATATACCGTTATTGCAGTTTTTGCAAATACGAGTAAATAAAGCTACTACTTTTATATGAAATTATCCCAAATTGAACGTGATTTATGGGCAACAACGTTTTTGCGAATGCGACCCTTACCAATGTGTACATGCGCAGTAAAATCAGTTAAAATAATGCTTTACCACGCATTTTGAATTGAAAAGATAAAAAGGACAGAATTATTGAGATTTTTTTTATTAATCTTTCTTCACCATTTTACTTATCCTACTTAAGAATTATATTGTTTAATTAGGACTGATAATGATGATGATATATAACTTTCAAATAAATTTGTCGAAACGATACGTGCGCTACTTACTGCATGTTAAGTGTATTCTGCCTATAAACTTCGCGCAAGTGCAAGCAATAAATTGACAAAGTTTTACCGTAATCTGATTATTGGTATGGCAGCACATAAAATACGAACAAACAAAAACCCATTTTTATTTATAAGATATATGTATATTAATATTTTAGTACAAATAACGTTCTCTGAATGCGGAGAGGGAGGCATGTAACGGGGCTCTCACATGAATAAACACGTGCTGAGTCGTTTGCGGTGATTGTGCGACGATTTCTCATGCTTCCAATACTTTCAGCCTCTCGACAACGTCAATTGCGGGCATTTAACCTCCTCCTTGATCTGCAACCTCGTTCCATACGACTGTATTTTACAAGCTTATTAATTTCGCTCCATTACAATTAATAGTAGTAATATTGGTTGAAAGTAGGCCGTATGATGCGTAGGAGATGCCTTAACAAATCTTATAGCGTTAAAATGTAGCAGATTTTTTTAAATTTCTAGATATAAAATATCGTAATCATAGAGAGTGATGCTCAGGCAGGCTCTGTAGGCAACTCACTTTACTACAACCAATTAGCCCACTTAGTGCAGCAAATAAAAATCATGTTAAACCGGGGAAGGTCTAGTTTTTAAAACAGAAAGAATAAAATTGATGGAATGACCTAGCCTTAAACTTTGCCGAGCCAGTAAATGAATTTATATTTTTATTTTATTTTAGTATAAATTAAAGCGAAAAAATCCGTTAATAATGCGTAATTACTGTAGGCGTCATTAAGTCCGTGTATAATTAGAAAAAATATGCAATATAAAATGTACAAAAATATAGGTAATATCCATAAGTAACTTTTGTTTATTAATTTTTATATGACAATTATATATTTTTACCTGATTTGTTAATCATAGATAGTAAACTCACTGTAAACATTAAATTTCATTTCGCAAGTATTGTAAAACTGGAAGATTATCAAGGCTAGAAGCAACTAGTAATTGACCGGTTTTAAATTAAAGCGAGCTCTTGAACTGGTTACGATCGTGTCTGTCTGTATACATAATGTAATAAATTTGTAATAGTTCAAATGTTTCCGGCATCAAGTCTTTGGGCAATTAACACGTGAAAGGTGTATGATATTTATTTTAAAAACGCTTAATATTCGTGTATTTTCCCAAAATATATCTTATATCTTCAATTTTGTGGATACTTGTAAAATTTTTAAATAAAAATTTGAGCTTATTTTCTTTAACTTTTTAGTTGGTAGTGGGCTTACTTTCCTGCCTAGATGTCCGCCTTGGTCCTTTTATCCATTTCTATCGCTGTGAAACATGGTTCCCACTGCACTACGTTCTGTTTTGCTTTATAGAGAAAAAGAGACGACATTATTACATACTATGTGGTGTATAAAATATTTATAAAAAAAAAACTTTCTTTTCAAGCTATTAAAACATCTAACTGACTTACGTAAATGACTAACAGAAACTTTAAGGTTTCATGAGTGTTTAAAAAACAAAAATTCGTTTTTTTAAAATAATGGACAAAAAGTACTGACGTAATGAAACTTCTTTTAAAATGAATGATACGACAAATTTTTGTCTCATCAATAAAAAAGCAACGCTTCGCAAAAAGTAGGCACGCATTCTTAACAAAAACACGTTTTTATTAAGTGCTAAGTTATTGGCTCTTCCACACAATACATAATATACCCAATTGTTAGACAGAATCACCTGAGAGTGATAAGGTCTACAGGTTTTTGACCCTAAGCGACAGAACATTCAACAATTTAATCTTACATGTCTAAAAGTGTTACCTAGATCGATTTTTTTACAATTATCTTTAGGATGTCATTATGGTTTAACAGTGGTAGAGCCACGCGGCAGCTTTTGCTGTCGCACGGATGGGACGGCTCGAACTGGGGTAGTACCACGACCTCACAGAAAACCAGCGTGAAGTAGAGGTTTACCTCTGCGTTTCGCTTGGTGAGTGCAGGTGGCCGGAGGCCCTTTTTACTGGAAATGAGGCATTCCATCTTAGTCCTCACGGGTGACAACGCATCTACATTTTGATTTGTAACAGAGGATAGATGTAGATGTCTATGGGCCGCAGCAACCACTTACCATCAGGTGGACTGTGTGCTCGTTTGTCACCCTCATCCTATAAAAAAAAAAATGGTGAAAATGAAAATACATGCATACATGATGACGATGACTGTAAATCTGACCCCTAAAGAAATTATTTAGTTGCAAACATTCTTCATTAATCAATATGAAATAAATATTTATGTTCACGTCATACATAACGAGAAAACACGACGATCCTATTACATTTTATAGCCATTAAATATACAGGTTAAGTCATAACTTGAACATTTCTCTATAAATGTAAAATAGCCGTTTAAAAGACAATAACAAAAAGTCCACCGCGCCGCGTGGCTTATTGGTCAACTGGCTGTCTACTGTCTTGTAGTTCTCGGCCTTGGTTAATATTCCAGCGGATGCCAATATTTATATAAAAAATGTCATTCTATCTATATCTACCTCTGTTCACATCTTGAGACCTACATTTTTGAGACTGGTATGTTATTCAGTTAAAGTGTGGGCTTCTATATTTGCGAGTGTTTAATCACAATGTACGTTATTGCTAATATTACTTAAGACTTTGCGCTTTTTTTAAATAGATTTATTCAATTAATGATTAGTCATTTATTATTTATGACTTATTAAAAACTGTAAAATCCTGTGCTATCCGATACTCCATACCTAATCTCCATCAACGTATAAGAAACTTAACAGCTTTTATATTAGCTTTTTTTTTAATCTACAGCTGGTTATAGGTTTTCTTTTATAGAAGTAAGACTGACAATCAGGCACATACTCGTCGTCCAACTACCTCTATCCTCGATTAAGAATCAAAATGCAGATGCGTCGTCAACTCAATGGATTAATGTGGATGGATGAAAAGCCCATTACCAGTAAAATGGGTACCCGGTTATCGTCGTTCACCACGCTTATATTTTGTACGAGCGTTGTCTTCCCCTGGTAGAGCCGACCCATTCGTGATACAGTGCCTTAATACACAGCAGCGTGGCTATTTTTATATAGAATAAGTGTAACAAACGGGCACACAGTCTATCTGATGGTAAGTGGATTCTAGCCCATAGACATCAGCATCTGTACTCAATGAAGAATCTAAATGCAGATGCGTTGTCACCTCTGAGGACTTAAAACAGTAAAAGGGTCTAAGTCCGGTTCTCTACACTCACCACTCACCATAAGAATCGCACCAGCATTGAACTGCTATTTTACGCTTTTGCGAGATCGTGATCCCTCCCTAGTCTAGCCAACCCATTCGTGATACAACTATAATATACCTGCAGCATGATCCTACTACGCATAAAGGTTCTATCAAGTGAAACATTCTATCTCCTACAGTCCTCAGGAGTGACAACCCATCTAAAAGACTTCTTTATTTTAAGTTGGCTGCCGTAGCTACTTACCACCAGGTGAACTGGAAGTTCGTTTGTGACTTTTTTTATATAGAATAAAATTTATTTTAATTTTTTTTTAATTTTCTTTAAAAAGACGTTAGAAGTGTGGGGGGCCACACTAGGATTTTCTTCTATATTGTGGAGGCAGTTTACAAACATAGATTGCACGAGGACAAACATCCAGACCTGGATCAATTATTTGTAGGCCATACAAAAAATACTTGTTCCGTGCGGGATATAATTAATTATATACATACACAATTTTATAGTTAATAAATGTAATTTTTGTATAATAAGTTTTATACGATACGAGTACATTCCACGCTGGAGAAGCTTGGTGAACGCACAGCTTACCGAGAGAGCAGAGGCAAGTCTGCTGGACTTAGGTTTAGCATATTCAAACGTATATTCCACTGATTCCGTAATTCCGGTAATTCCGGTAACGCAATAGAGTGTTTGGCTGCTGCGCTACGAGCCTTGGATTTAAATCCCGCATTGAGCAAGTGTTTGTTGGCCTCCTTACAAATAAATAATTTGGATCTCTATGTCCAATTTATATACGAAAAACGCCTCCACCATATCACACATCTTAGTAGGGATTCGTTTTATTAAGCAAAACTAGAAAAAAGTCGGTGGCTACAGCAGCATTTGTTAGATATCAAGATGCTCCGTGAACCACTCATGGTTGATATTTGGAGCACAAACTCAACAACTCTCGCTCTGAGAAATTGTAACATATAAAACCTTTAGATCCTTAATCAGAGCCGTTCTGTATGCAAGGTCTTGCAATCAATAAATTAACGCAACATTGAACAGGTCTATCATTTTTTACATTTTCTTTTTTCTTTATTTGTTTAATTTAGGCAACAAACACATTTACCAATACAATTGTAGCTTATACACTAATACATATTTATGCCCAGCACTGGATATTAAAGTCGATGATAACGCAATCGTTCAACAAAGTAATAGATAAACTTGTCGGCTAAGTAAGCAAACAACTAAACATTTTTATTTTTATTTAACGTGTTTTTTCCGCAGGATTATACGGAGTATTGTTCAGACGCAACAAGGAAGCAGCCTTCTCTAACTACAGGCTATGGGAGAGCGCCGGCTTCGTTGTCGCTTACGCCTATTCCACCCATTTGTGTGCCAGGATGAAACTATACGTAATGATGGTCGTATTGCTCATAGGATTTGTTGGATATATTATCGTGGAGATTCTTCATAAGAGAAAGGTGAGTTTAACTTCATATTTAAGAATAAATTTATCCACAATTATAAGAAATTATTTTTAAATGTACACACAGTTGTAGTAAAAAGTCAATTAATAAGTTCTTGTAAGAATATTATAAAAAAAATGCTACACATCCTTGTTTTATTGCATGAATGCAGTTCTAAATATTTTTCATAATCCTGGAATAAGGCAATGTACTCTGTGTAAATTCTTATAAATTAAAGAAAATGGGGGTAATCTATCTCAAAACCGACCACTCCTAAAATTTCCGAACCGGGAACTGGAAATCGACATTTATCTAAATGCCAGTTTCAAAAAAGGTTTCAAAGTGCAGATCACGCTTCCACATAAAACATTTTTTGTAACATTATGCCGTAATCTCTCGCATTCCGTACAAACCCCGTATTTAGTGTAGATCTATGGTAGAAACCCATTAAGGGTATAATACAACACAGTTGAAGCTTTAATAATTTTATGCACCTTTGTTTTTTTCACGCTTTAGGCTCGTCGTCAGAAGGCGATTGCCGAGAACCCAGTAGCAGCAGCCGAGGCAGCGAAGCAACCCCCAGAAGAAGACGACGAAAAGGATGAAATCGACGACGACATTATAATCACACACCTGTAAACGGCCAGACAGAACACATTCGAGTGATCTCCGTCTATGATCTAACAATGCGCACGAAGGCGCAACATACAAATTTGCCATACATCCACTTCGTTATGTACAAATGAACAGAAAGATGATGAAATTGTAATCGCGATATTAATAAGATCTATTTATATACCCAATAGTTAAATGTTTAAGAGACGGCTTCCGAATTAAGTGAGTTTAATTGAAGACTTCACAAGTACAAACGTTCTCACGGACTGCTAAATACGCGACCCCATTCCAATTGTTTCGGAAATCTACGTTTCGTTAAGGTCACACTATAAATTATAGAGCTTGAATTGAGAGAGCTTGATGTTGTATGAGCTCGTGACACGAAATATTAAATGGACAGTTTACAAGCTGTGATATAATAATGACAGGATTTTGTTAGTATCTAAGTATATGTTCGTAATTTAAAATATTATTGGGATTTTATCGAGCAGAGAAACGAATTCAAATTTGTAAGTTATTTTAAATACGAGCAAAGCTCTAAAGGAGACAATAGATTGTACAGACTTTGCATATCATATTCTCACTTTTAAACTAATTCATGATTTTATACTTATCAATATTGGGGCATCGACGGTATAGGCAGTTGCTTGCGCGCACACGCGTCAATGTAATTACAGAACATCTGTATTTATTATTTCTTCAATAGTAATTACTCGCTTTGTCTTATATTTGAGTTTATGGCTTTTAACGCCGCGTATTTAATAAATTCATTTTGTATCTTTATATGTTAATGTACTCTGGGGCGAATTAAAGAATTCACTTCTGCCATACTTTATTTTTTACACTAGTAAATGAATAAGACATATTACGCTAAACATTTGAACGTGTCACAAGTTCAAAAAGCAGGAGTACCGCTATATTTTATAACCTCATGACGTAGAACACAGTATGTCGCTCTTATTTTATTCATGAAATTAAATTTTTATTTGACAGTTTACTTAAAACTATGTCTTAATATAGTTTTAAACGCTTCGCGACGTAGTATTAATATGGTGAAAATCTATAAATTGTCTTTATTGGAAACGTCAATTGACAAAAAAATCTTGTAGTTTAAAAAAAATATATGTATATATCTCATGCGTTCAAAACGTATATATATTATATAAACATTGAGCAGCTATTTTTTCTATAATTTTAATTTCTCGTGACGGCTACTCATTTTTATCAAAATATGTTTTGTATATTCTTAATTATACATCTTTGTAATAATTAAGAATATAATGCACACATAAATATTTGCTTCTATGTAAATCACAAATCCGATTAATTCGTGAATATTTTCTAAAAATTATTCTCCACTGTATATAAGACAAAACGTGTTTTACATTTTACATCAACTTTGAACAGTGTTGTCTATATTTCGTGTGCTTATTTTAGAACGCTCGATGTTTTTAATTTAAGCATATAAATACAGACAAGGCAGCGTGTTGTCGTGTATAGATAATTTCAACTAGTAGTGGTCGCTTGTAAAATTATTTGGATTTGTTATTATTATTTAGTAAAAATTTTAAATGATAGCAAATTCATTCCTATTTTAAGGCTCTTAGATCAAATAAATTAATATCATATAGTTAAGGTTATAAATACATTTTAGAATATTTTTACCCATTACTTTGATGGATATAGTAATGGTTTTATAGGAAAATAATGATAAGCCAAGCATAATTGCATCTTAACTTGATTTGGGAAAATTCTTGTGTACATCATAACATTTTAAATGGGTTCTTGTATACATTATATAAACTTGTGTTATAAGTAACTCGTTGGATATGCCTTGAATTCTTCGTCTGCCCTTTTAGTTATCGCTTAGCTTTAGACATCGCTTATCCATATAATAATACATCTTAACTATTTTAATGCAATATGTAATCAAAACCCTGCCCAATTCATGAGGATGTTTGTAGGTTTTTGTTCATGTTATCCTCTTCAAAAAAAATTACCCTTGAAAAATAAAATAAAACTTTATTAGGGGAAACTTACATGGTTAACTGTAACAAGTGGTGCGGGAGACCGTCGGGTAACGATACCCGCCACACGTTCAGAGACTCTGTAAAAATTAAAATTAAAATATTTTTTTTTAGTAAATCGTAGTAAATAATGTATTTTAATGAGGGCATTTACGACTTTTACTGCCACCAGGGGAGCACAACTTAAAAAGTGAGATACAATATTTGACAGATTTCATAGCGGGTAAGTTAATTTGTTCAGAAAATGTAAAAGTTAACATTTCTTTATGTCTTAATAGCTATATTTTACATTAATAAGATTAAAAATAAATAAACCAAATCGCAGATATCCATAAAAGTAAAAAATTTAAAAAAAGTTAAAAATGTGCAAAAAATTAAAGAGGAAGCCACTGAGGCATTGTTTTGTGTATTAATATAATAGAAACTGATAAACTTCTATTAAAAACAACTTTTATTAAAAGCGACATCTGGTGAGCAGAAAATTATTAGCCCTCATCAACAATAACAAAAGACATTGTAAAAACTCGCCTAAGAACCACAATATTATATTTGACAGTTTCCAAAATTCTTATCCTTAATTATGTATTAGATAACATTCAATAGATAGTAACGGACACTTTTGAATTGTGAAATCAAAATAAAAAGGACTTTTTAAATTTTGAACTTTGTACCTATTTTTTAATAGGCGTGCTGCGTTTTGGGCTCCTGTGATTCGACTAATCGAATAATACCTCCACTGACATATTTGAAAAGTTGTCATAAACTCAAATATATTATGAAAACGTTAATATTTTAAAATATACCTCAGATTAATATATGCCACAAGAAACTAGGATACAGTAAAATCATCTGTTTTCATTAAAAATAACAATACTATTGTACTCTCATTGGCCAAATCAGCATGGTGCCACGCAAAAAAAAAACATTAATAACATTGATAGATGACAAGACGTTAAAATAGATAGACGTCAGACGTGCGATCGTTTTCGTTTCGTTTGAAAAAATACATTTCTGGAAATGTTTTCGGAATCTAAATGCACTGTGCAGTTGGTTTGTTATGCAATAAGTTTACCTAATCGCAACCTGAGTTTTATTTACCGTATAAGTTCTAGGCTAAGACTGAACTGCTTACATTAGCAATAACATAGTAATGTTTCATAAAAATAAAACATAATCTCAAAATCTATATGATAACTGCGAATATCTATGTTTTCAGAAGTGTCCGTCAGAAGTTATTGTTCTTTCATACAATTATGTGTAATTTCGGACTTAAAAGTTTTTTTTTCACTGTTGGTTCTTAGGCGAACATTGTATGGACGCAAAACAATGTCATTTATTCGCATAAATAACATTACTCACAAAAATCGCCAATAAATGCTTAAAGTTCTCTCTCTCTCTCTTTCTATCTATCTACCTATCTCTCTCTCTCTCTCTCTCTCTCTCTGTCTATCTATCTCTCATTACTAAATGATAATAGTAAAGTAGGTAGGTAGGAGATAATTGAACTTAATTTATGTAAGCAATAATCAACGATTGTAGTTAAGGCCGATGTTGGTTTATTTTATTTTTTGGTAATGTCATAACGGTACATACATGTGTCTTTCGGATCGGACAGGGTTTTCTTCAGGGTTTTATTATTCATCGATTCTTTCTGCTTTAGCGAAAAATGTATAAAGGGCTAAATACCGGCTAATTTTAGAACTTTACTGTGTATGGTAATCTTGTGACGACGTTCAGGGCATCGATTGGAGCATACTTTTCTGTTTTTTAATAATTGTTTTAATGGTAATAAAAATGTACAAATTCTACCAAATTAACGCAATTTTGTAGAATATGTTCAAGCCATTTAGTTCTTTACATTACACTTACATATCATTTTTAATATATTTGTAAAAAAAATCTACAACTTACTATATTTACCTCTTTCATAATTTGTCGAATTGTTTAAAAAAGGATCGCTATATTATATTGTTTATATGTGTCTTAAAACGTGTTGTAAAATGTCCTCTTTTTAATCATTTGGCTTTAATTTTAAAAAAATAGACCAACGGTACGACAATACATGTAGATATTATTTATGAATATTGAATGAAGTATTGAAATAAGTGTGAAACATGATCTGTAACTTACTTCTCCTTTATGTCAAATGTTGTTAAAGATAAGACGTGCCTTTGGATTTGTAGGGTTGTCCGTGCTACCTTTGGGTACACGCAACATGTACCAACATAGGATAACATAACCACGTGATAATTAACATTTAAAATGTATAAATTAAGGCAATTATTATATTATTAATGTAATTAAATTTGAATTAGTAATAGTTCCGTAAGGCTATTATATAAATAAATCTATTATATTTTTGAGATAACCCTCATTTTGTTTAGTACTATAAAACAATGTTATTATATTAATTATATGAATTTGTGATGAAAATAAACATAGAAATTGTTTGGTCAATGTTTTTTATATCACTGATCTATGATCATTCTTCCGAAACTTAACAAACCCAAAAAAGATTAAGTAAACTTCAAAAGTTATGTTGCAATTAGAACAGTAGCAGCTTAAGGCTACGTTTCCACCAGAGATGTGCGAGGTAGCTAGGCGGTGCGAGGATGCGTAGTGACGTTGTGAAACGGAGCGCAGATGAGCGGTGCGAGGATGTGTATAAATATTTTTAGCCCGCTACACATCCTTGCCCCGCTCATCTGCGCACCGTGTCACAGCGTCGCTACGCTTCCTCGCACAGCTCAGCGGCCTAGCATATTTCTGGTGGAAACGCTCACACTATTCCATAGTCTCGCTACGCATCCTCGCACTGCCCAGCTACCTTGCACATCTCTGGTAGCAACGCAGCCTAAGGGCCGAGAAATGATTATTTAAAATGACTTCCTTCTGTTATCTTATTATTCCCCATAAGCTTCTAAAAGTCCATTTATTTGACTGTTCGACTTATGTCTATGTGTGGACTGTAATAATGTGGCGAGGTTTTCTTCCAAA